CTCCTACAGTGTACCAACATTTGAGACTCTAAACGTGAATAGTTGTTATATTGACCTGCCTTGATTAATGGCTTTTGCGAGTTCTTTTAGAAGGTGTTCTCAAAGCTGCCTTTACCACTTTGTTTGTCTCTAAATTCTCTTTTTGTCTGCAGTTTCCTTATGTTAAATCCATGGCTCTAAGATTTACATTTGTCCATAGTTCAGGGGAGAGGAGAGGCAAAAACATGCGTAGTATTTCCATGTGCTTTTGTGACAGCACTGAGAGTTAACACAGTAGGATGGAAAGGATTTTTGGCAGTTGCACAGTTGAGTTGAACGTGTTACTAAGAGCCTAATGAGAAGAACCTGCACTAGTGCACCACAGCCTTCAAAGTGTGGTTTCTCTCAAGATTTCCAAATACAAGCATCTTCCCAAAGCAATGCAACTCTTTTGCCAATTTTGTTGCCAGAATAATGTTTGAACGTGAAAGTAATTTGCTTAAAGACTGCTGATGCCATTGAATCTGGAAGGCAATAGATGTTTTTTTTTGCAGCAGGTATTTTTTTAGCCTGTTCACGTGATTTCTTTCAGTTACAAGAATTACACCTTTGTGACGGTGTTTGGAAACTTGCACCAGGCTCAGCTGGGTGGAGTTCCTGGGACTTACCAACTAGTTCGCAGTTTCTTGAACATCAAACTCCCTGCACCCGTCCCTGGTCTCCAGGTATGTCCATCTCCTTCAGTGACCAAGCTAAAATAGTAACACAAATCTATTTGCTCCTGTACAGCCAGGAAAACAAACAAGCCTCCGGTGGTTTTGTGTTGTTTAAATTTTTGGGGGTAGTGGGCTCTTACTTCTTCTCCAGAATTTTTTTATTGTAAAATGGAAGGTAGTAGACAAAATCACTTTGACTTTATTCAGAGCTAGTCCCAGAAGTATTGTGGTGGTCAGTAGTTCTAGAAAGTTCAAAGCTATAGAAATTATGGTCTCTTCTGATCATTTTTAAAGAGGTATTAAAGTATTGAAATATGTTAAGATATTTCAAAACAGCAAAAACATATTCTGAGATTTAATGGTCTATGTTATCGCTTTGTTTTTCTTTTCTTTCTTTTTTTTTAGCGCCCATTGTGACACCAGTTGTTGATGGTTAAATATCTAAAGAATTCATCTGAATTATAGCTAAGGCCTTTTTATTGAGGAGTCTGAATAAAATCCTGTTCACCTGTCCATAGTAGAAAGTGCATAGCTGTGCACTGCAAAATTACCAGGGCATACAGGCAGTCTGGGCTGAAAAAATTAAAAGTATAAATGAAACAATAGCAAATACATAATATTGGAAACCAGATAGCTGAGTTTAGCTGCCTTGCGTACCTGCTGAGATCCATGATTAGTTTGGCTTCTTTTGGTTTCAGTGCTGACATTTTTAATGCCTCGGTGGTCCAATCCAGAGCCCACTGAAGTCGGCGTTAAGTCTCCCAGCTCGGCTGGTGCAAACAGAGTTTTCTCTTGTAGCTGGAAAGCTTCTGAGTTTGCCTTTTAAACGTCTGGCAATAACTGGAAAGCGTTCTTTGTGTACAAAGTTACCTTCTTTTGATGTAGTAAGCCTGAGGCTTTTCCCTCTAGGTTACCACAAATAGGCAAAAGAAGGCCTACAGCCTTGTTTCATCTCCCCAAATGCAGGTGTCTAAAATACCTCAGCAAAGTCCCTATAAGACTTACCAGCCCGACACTGAAATGGGTTTGTTTGCACGACCCGCAAAAAGCGGAAGGATAAGTTAAGACAATAACTCCATTTTGGTTTGGCTTCCTTCATACAAACCAAGCGTGGCTGGTAAACCCGCTTGTGCCTGCTGTTGATACTTGGATGTGTTTGAGGGCTTTTATTTGGTCGTCTTCTGTGTTTGAACTTCTCTACTGTCAGCCTTTTCCCCTCCCCAAGAGGAAAGTGAACTTCTGCGCTCCGAATGTATCAAGAGGAGACAGACTGCCCTTAGCTGGGTGATTAGCTACCTCCCTGTGAGCGTGCATGGGGTGTGGAGGTTGTATGTATGCTAGTTTTGGGATTGCCAAATCTCACCCAGAACTGACATCTGGGCAAGCAAAAGGGAGTCGCATCCTTCGCTGCAAGGATGCGCGCAGCTTTCACAGGACTTAAACCACCTGATGTGTATAGGTATAAGGACAGAAATAATGAACTAGGCAGAGAGAAAAAAGAAAAATGAGTCAAATATGCTGCTTAAAAAAAAGTTTCAGTATTTTCTTTCTGTTCATCTTGCAGGATGGTGAGGTGGAAGGCCATCCTGTTTGGGCACTGATTTACTACTGCATGCGCTGTGGCGATTTGACTGCAGCCATGCATGTGGTGAAGCGAGCACAGCACCAGCTGGGAGAGTTTAAAACCTGGTTCCAGGAATACATGCACAGTAAAGATAAAAGGTAATTGGGAACGAGGAAAGATCTTTGAGGGACAGAAACTGCTGTGGAGTAGTGAAACAGATAGTGGCTTGGTATATATATAAAGGACTCGAGTTTGTTTTGGTGGTAATGGCTGCCTGTATTTGTATCACCTACTTAAATTACATATGAGAAGTTTACATATTTTAATTTATGGCTTTGAAGTCTTGAAATCTTGACAGAGAAGGAGCTGTTTGAAAATATGCACAATTTTACATTTCAAAAACAGTACAATGGTGTAGCTTTGTTTTTTTGCCATTGCATCTGCTTTATGTGTAACAGTACGATGTTGCATATGGCAGATGAGGTTTAGTGTACTGTCATAAATCCTATGTCTTTTTATTTCCCACCTTGTTTCTTATTTTAGTTGAATGTCCTTTGAGGATCGCTTTTTACCTAAGAGTGCCACACAATAAAAGCAAGTAGTGTTTGTTACAGGCCTTTAGAGGCATTTGATCTCAGATCTTTCTTGTGCTTGTTCTCATCCTCCAGCATTTGCTGTCCATCGTGTGACAGAGGCCACTGGCCAAAATACTGTTGTGTGCTTGGAAGCAGTTGAGTTAGTGCATCTTCAGGCGAGTTCCGAAGTCGGCTGTGGCATCTTCAGTTGTCTTGTTTAGCTTTCTGTTTGCAAAGAACTTCAAGTAACATACCCTCAGCCATTGCGTTTTAGGTGAGGGATGATATAAAACCCTCAGATGCACAAATTCAGACATTTGCAACTTGTCAGCATATCTGAAAGGCCTGCAGCTTTGCTCCATTCACGAGAATGACACTGTTCTAAGATACTGGCTGAAATGGAGGGAAGTCGGAGGACCCAGATAAGCGCCAGGACTTAAACCTGTCGTATCCCAATTCAGCCTATGACAGTTTTATTTGTATGAGTGAGGTCCTTAATCCTGCCATATGTTGAGTGCAGTGGGGCTGCCCAGGTGTGAAGATATGTGCAAGAGCAGGTATGTTTGCAGGCCTTAACAAATAACAGAGGAAAAATTCAAAAAGGTACCAAGTGGCGCAGACCATGTCATTCTTCTAAAAATGAGCCTGGTTTGTAGAGAATACTTAGCAGTGCTCGTCATAGTATGATTGTTCCAGAAGCCTTAGTGAAGGCACTGTCATCGCTTCCATTACAAACACTTTAATGCTATACAGCATAACTGATTTATTTTGATTTTTGTTACAGCTATAAAAATGTACTGTGGCTACAGAGTTGACAAGCAACATCTTAGTCTAGGAGAACGCTTTATTGATTCGATTCTGTAAAAGTCTCTACAAGTGAATTGAAGAAAGCGAATGCTAAAGAGCGTAATGACAGTATCTAATGATAAAGAGGAAACAGTGTTTCTTACAAAGGACTTCATGGTACAATGACCTGCTCACTTGAGTAGTATTTACTAGCCCAAATTGTTCCAAAGACTTTGAGCTTTATTTTTCTGAAATGATGAAATTCCACAGAATCAGACATAAATAGCTCACCTACCGCAATATTAATGCACTCTTAAAATGACTATCTTCTGATTTTTTCCTACAGTGGTGCCATTTGAAGATGTTCCCCCATAATTCTAACCATATTTAAATTAACATGTGTAAAACCAAACACACGTGAAATGTGTCTTTTCAGATAGTTATTAACGTTTTTAGTTTTGCATGCGATTGTGAATAGGAAATATCTTCCAGTATTTACTTGCATGATGTCTTTGCTGTGAATATGTGCTTATTTACATTGGTTTATATCCAGATTTCCCCACATAGGGAGAGGTGAGGTTCACATTTTTTCCATGAATTCCTTATCACTTTGATTTTTTTTTTCCTTAGATTATCCCCTGCCACAGAAAATAAACTACGTCTCCATTATAGACGAGCTCTGAGGAATAATACTGACCCATACAAAAGGGCTGTTTATTGTATTATCGGCCGTTGTGACATTACAGATAACCAGAGTGAAGTTGCTGATAAAACGGAAGATTACCTTTGGCTAAAAGTAAGTGCATTTTTTTTTGAAAGTTAGGACTAGGTGGTAGTCTCTGCACTGCTCTGCTAACCTCCCTCATCCAAGGTGTTTTGCATCAATATAATGTGTGTGATCTGAGGCCTTTCAGATAGTGAAGAGCTTGAGAACCTGAGTCCCAGGACTAGTCTGTCACCCTCTGTACTATCAGGTGTTAATTTGGGGACACTGTGGTCTTCTCTTTTGTCAAAAAGTGTCATGTTCCTGATTCAACATGGGTCTTTGCCAGCTGTTTTTACAAACCTGGTTAGCTTACGGTAGTGAGGATCCTTTGTGAATTTTCAATTCTGGATGGATTACGGTTGAAACGTTGACGTGAGAGTTGACAGAGGAAGACAATGTTGGTGTTACCAGCACATAAAGTTCTCGCAGTTTTGGTGAGGGCATAAGGATAGATACGGATGAGTACCCATTTCTCTCCTTTATGGGCGAGAGGGAATAGAATGCTAGATTTGTTAAGACTGTGCAAAAAAAACTTATTTTGGATTATTGTGTAGTAGGTATTTTGAGTCCCAACAGTTGAGTTTTGTGCGCACAGTTACAAAAGGACCCTTAGGTTATATCTGCATGGGTTTCTGGTGTTACTATGTTAGAGATCTTTGCTGTCCAGCAATAGGTGGACCTGATGTTGTGACTAGTAGTAGTGTCTAGTCAGTTGGTCAAATCCTAGCAAGGGCTTCCTATAGAATGCGTATCTTCTGAATGCATCCCTCATGCAAAATGAAGTTGAAATATCTGTGCTTCTTTTCTTGGTCATGGTCCTAGCTGAACCAAGTGTGCTTTGATGATAATGGCACGAGTTCTCCGCAGGATCGATTAACATTGTCACAGTTCCAGAAGCAGCTGCTAGAGGACTACGGTAAGAAACCACAAAGAGATACGTTACTGGAGTTCTGCTTCTCTCCTTAGGGCATTTTCCGATTGTTATTACACAAACACTGCACTCCACATAAACCCTAAAGCTCTTCATTAGAGACAGGCATCTTTAGAGTGTTCATGGGCAGCCTGCTTCCCTAGAGTAGTGGCAGACTGTAGTAAGGTGTGGTGAACAAATCCTGTCTGTGCACTCAGCAGTCCCGAGAGTGAACATCTGTATGTGAACAACACTGCTGCTATTTGTACTGTATCCAATCTAAATTATGAATTGCTTTCTCTCACCATAGATAGGCTAAGCTCTTTTAGCAAAACTTCACACAGTTGGAGTACAGAACATAAAAGCCATCGTTACTTAATGTAGGCATGGCTTTCCAAGGTTTTTCTCCATGTGCATCTGTTTTTCATTGTCTCTCATGAATTTCCAATGGAAGTAATGTGCTAGGAACCTGAACTGGCCTTTTTCACGTAAATCATAGTCCCTTCCACTTAGGAGTGTTGTAGGAACGTCCGTGTTGAAGAGAGTACCTTTTCCCATTTTCATCTTCTGAGCAGTCAAAACTGTGATTAGGTCACTTGGACTATCCAAGACATACAGAATTTGATTCTCTGCAGCCTTCTAGCACGCAACGTCACTCGCACCCAGATAGAAACTGAGTGAAAAAGGGAGATAATAAGCTACCACTGATGTCACTGTGTTAGGAAGCCCAAGCTTGTAACGTTTTTTGGATCGCTCAGTTTAAGTGTAAATGAAGACAAAAAGTTGTCGTCTTTAAAGAATTTATTGCAGCCTCTCAGAGTTGGTGGTCCTTTATCTGGAAAGAACAAAGGAACTCCTTCGAGTAACTGTTTATTCGTTGATGCTTCCTAAATACAACTTCATGCTGTGGCCTTTCATGATATATATGCGATGAAACAATTGTAGATCAGCCACTGCTGTGTGATTAGGTATTCAATTTTGTCTAGTGTGTTTATTTCTGTTGGCACTGAATAGACAATAATGACGCATTGTGACAGGAATTATCCACTGTCTCTGATTGCAAAACCGTTCTCACTTGCTCTGTGTTTGTGTTTTTTCAGGTGAATCACATTTTGCAGTGAATCAGCAGCCTTTCCTCTACTTCCAAGTATTGTTCTTGACAGCACAGTTTGAAGCTGCAATCGCTTTTCTCTTTCGGACAGAGCACTTGCGTTGTCATGCTGTTCATGTTGCTTTGGTCATGTTTGAATTAAAATTGCTCCTGAAATCTTCTGGGCAAAGTGCACAGCTATGTAAGTCCTGCACGTTTACTTCACAATAACAGAATATCTTCTGAGGCCTTTTAATAGCCTATGGACACTGCAGGCCTATGTAACTGATCAAACAAGTAACACTTATCAGTACAGTCTGCTAAAGGTTAATTGTTTTGGTTGCGTTAGAGCTCTGGATCATTGCTGTGATTAATTTGAGATGAAGATCAGAGCAACGTTTCCTGGCATTAGATACTTTGATAGCGTTGTTTCTGACCTTGCAGTAAGCCATGAGGCTGGTGACCCTCCTGGCATCAGGCGTCTTAATTTTGCACGGCTTTTGATGCTTTACACCCGTAAATTTGAATCAACGGATCCAAGAGAAGCTCTGCAGTATTTTTACTTTCTCAGGTAGGAACCAAGATACGTCTCTAAATTTTCTCCCAGTTATACTGCTTCATTATCCTTATCTTGGAAGTCTTCAGTTTCAGAAACATTACTTTCCTCCTCCCTTTCCTTTTGTAGGAATGAGAAGGACAGCCAAGGAGAAAATATGTTCCTGCGTTGTGTTAGTGAACTCGTAATTGAAAGCAGAGAGGTATGTATGGCTGTTTTCTGCCTTCCTTACCTAGATTGAAATTTATCCCTTCATTGAAATCTTCCTTAGGCCAGACAGCCTTGAGCATTTGTTTACTCTCGTTCTGCATTGTCCTTCAGTCAGATACCCAGATGAAGGAAGACTCCAGTTCTCACAACAGCCATGTGTTTAGGATATCTAATTGGGTCTTTGGAGGCATTATTTATATGCAATAATAATTTTGACATAGAACTCTGTAATGCAGCCATGGCTGCATCTTCGTAGTTATTAAGTATGTCGTGAAATGTTTACAATTCATCTCTCTCTTCTTTTTCCCCCCTTTTTTCCTGCTTTACATCTGTGTGCATGTAGTTTGATATGATTCTTGGAAAGCTGGAAAACGATGGCAGTAGAAAGGTGAGTTGATACTTTGTGTATATTGTATATAGAAAGTACAAACCACACTTGATTTCTGAAGTAGTCTTCAGGTTATCTAGCTTTTCCTCATTTTTCATCAGCCAAATCATCACTGTGTTTGAATCTGTATTGGTTTTTCATGCATCAGAGCCTTTTACAGAATAATCTATGACTTGTCCTGTAAGAAAGCAGGTCAGGAAGCGCCGGGCAAACTATATCCCTGTAGAAAGAGGATATAACTAAAGAAAGAAAGGACAGCAGGTAACTTTAGTGAGGTCAGAATTTCATCTCTAGAGTAGGAAACTGAATGTAGTAAAAATGAGTTAAAATGACTTGCCTATAAATGTGTAAGAGATTGTTCTGGAGTTAACTTTTTACATATATTTATGTATGTGTGTGTATATGTATGAAAATTATCCGTATGACATATATCCTCTTTCACTTCAGAGGAGTGTATGTATTGCAGCCAATTAAAAATCCTTGTAATTGAGGGAGCAGAGGCTAACGGACTAAAGGCATAGCCACAAGTGAGCCGTCCTCTCCATACGAATGAGGATAAGTATTGGAGCACAGATCAGCCATTTTTATTTTAGTGTTGAATTTTGCTTCTGCTGTAAAAGTGATATCCTAAAACTAAAATGTAGGCAGACACAGTCAGAAGATAGAGGAAGCCTTAAGATTTCACCCAGAAGGAGGAGAGTACATGTAGATGTATAAAATTTTGCAGAACTGGTGAAGTTATTCTGTTCACTGAAGCAACTTTTTTATTTAAGCATAAAGCAAACTCCAGAATCGTTCAGGTCTTAATTTAAGATTACGCCTCATACTATCATCATTGCCACTGTCAAAAAATACATTGTGATTTCTGGCAGCGTTTCCTTTTGGATGTTTTTCTTCTGTCAGTTTAAAAGCAGTGAGAGTGCACGCATGAAAACAGGGTACCTCAGTAATCTTTACCAATTATTTTTCATTTTGCAGTTTTGTAAGATGTATTTAAAGAGATGGCTTTTAGGTTGCGCTGTTAGAGGTGAATCCTGTTTTCCTAATTTACTCAATTTCTTCTAAATGCAACTGTGCTCTTGTGTTTCTCCAGTATGAAACCAGAATTGAGCAATTGCTGTCTTTATTTGAAGGAAAAAAAAGTTTTTCTAGATGCTATAATCTTATTTTTACATCCTCAACTACCATAAGATCCTTTCCAGATTTCCTCGACTTTTTTCTGCCTTTTATTTTGTACTTATGTTTGTTTCTTTTAAAATTCTTGTAGCACTTTCTTTTGTCAGCACAAGATTTCATTTGCAACCTGTCAAGCCAAAACATACAGACATCATCCCTGAAGACCCTGGCATGTTATCTGCTGAAATCTTCTGTGTTTTATTCTTCTCTACTATAATGTGTCATCAGCAAATTAAAATAATTTAGAATTTGACCTGTTATCTGGGTTATTTTGAATGAATTAGAAAGAGCAGATGTCTCAATGCTGACTCCCTTTTGGAGAAAGTGTCTCTCACAAGAGCTCTTTCTATTTTTAACATGGCCCTTTTACGTGTTCCCATGGAAATGTGCAGGCCATTCTAATCGTAATCCAACATGTAAAATATTCATTGCTTTCACAAAATATTCAGGAATTTTTAAGCATTCTGATTTCTCTTTTTTGTTTCCTCTCTCCTTTCATATTCGTCTCATCTCTTTAGCCTGGAGTGATAGACAAGTTTACTAGTGACACGAAACCTATTATTAACAAAGTGGCTTCTGCAGCAGAAAACAAAGGATTGTTTGAAGAAGCTGCAAAACTCTATGACCTTGCAAAGGTAAATATCTTTTATATGTTGCCATAAATACATACCTGGCTCACTGTCTTAGTTTCAAACATACTATCTGTGATAAAGAGGTTAAATTTCATCTCAAGAGATTGAATTGCCTTTATTCTAGTAGGTTATTTTGCAGTTCTTAGAGCAGAGCCATTGGCTGCACGTGGAGGGGTTTCAGTGAGAAAATCCAGAAGGGTTGCTATCCAGTCCGTTCTGATTTAATACTGCCTGGATTCTTGATCAATGTGATCGTGTGAAGCCATTGCCCCATGTTATTCTGGCTAGTGAAGTTATTTACTCAGAGTGTGCTCTTTCGATTTAATTGATGTTGAACTAAAGTCTAAAATAGTTGGGCTTTATTATAATGGGTAATCTTCTCCCATTTTGAAACAAAAGGCCAACATAAGCCATAAGCCAATAACTGGTGTTTTAAGGGAAAACTGAAAGCTGTATGATTTTGTTCTTTTCTTTCTTTATTTTTTTTTTTACATGAGCTAGCGGCATTATGTTGTTCATTATAGCTATCGTGTTCTGCTCAATCTGAACCCTCTGTGGGAGGGAGGTATCTCTCAGGTTGCACTAGGCACCACTGGATGAGGCTTTTTTTGCTTTGCCAGTGAGTTTAAAATGCCAGGTCCCGTCATTTTCCTTTTATTTATATGCAATCCCAATATCAACAGAACCCAGACAAAGTTTTGGAACTGATGAACAAGCTCCTCAGTCCTGTCGTTCCCCAGATTGGCACTCCCCAGTCCAACAAAGAACGGCTGAAGAACATGGCCCATTCCATTGCTGAGAGGTAAGGCACTGGGTGACCATGTGGACCTCCTCTGAACCAGTTAAAGGCTCCATACTTTGGACTGTCAGTTCAGTGGATATTAGTACTTGATTTTGTTTCTGCTGGCTGGAGCGTGGCATCTGTGGTGATGTGTTCAGGAATACAGAAAAGAGGTCGTCATTTTTCCTGTACCTGCAATGACTTGCAGCACTCAAAGCAGAAAGGAAATCTTCAGCTGCCGGTTGGCTAAATTTGGCAGTAGCAAGAAGCTTTATCTGTAGGCAAATCAGGGAAACTGAATTGCAGAATTGCCAAGTGGGAAACAAAGTCTCTTAAGGAGTGAGAAATATAATAAATGCTTTAGTTAATTTTTAAATAAAATTCTATAAACAAAAGGTGCAGACTTATTGAACACAATCTACTTGTTTGAAATAGTGTTAGGAGAGAGCTACAAATCCAGTATTCTGAGGTGCAGTGGCAGAGCTGGGAGTTCAGCTGCCTGAAAACTTTGTTGCACTGCTGCTTTAATGAAATACTGAAGGGCCGAAAAGGGAGCATTTAAGCCGAGGGGTGATAAATGGTGAATGTAAACAGAGGACCTCACTTCCACAATCTGTTGCCTTAGGAAAGTGCATTGTGGCGCTTCGAAAAGAGATAGAAATGGAAGTGACCAAAAGATGTATCATCTGCAGCGTCAGCGTATGAATTTGCATGCATGTTTGAGAGACATCAGTGCTCAAGATTCATTAGCAGCTTGAGGTTAGGAATAAGCTTCTTCTGAAAGGTTGTTCTTGCAAAAAAGCTTTTACTTTTTTTTTTTTTTTTTTAAACCATCTTCATTTGATTCGTCTTGCCATGGACAATTTCTGTATTTTACTAAAACAAAATCTGGGTACCTGTGAGAAAAGTCTTATCCCTTTTCCTCAAATGCTGTGGTGGGGGGGCGAATAAAAGACAAAAACAAGCAGGCTGGCAGGCACTTCAGAACTGAGAAAACAAATACCAGGATGCATTGATTTCAGTCAGAGGCCTTTGCCTTTCTTCTTTTGACAAGTGCCACTTGCCAGTCACTCCTTCAGTCATTTAGTGCAGGTTGAAACGGAGTGAAAATTAGTGCTATATTGACTCAGCGAGACGGTCATTCAGTAGCAGACATGGAAGGAGAATTAAACCTATGGCTTAAATTTAAGCTTCAGCAGAGCCTCTAGTAGGCACTGTTTTGGACTTGCTTTGATCTTTGCGAGAGAGCGCTAAATATTACTGAAGAGTAATGCCCCTTTATAGCTACAAACCTTAAAGAATCCAAAGCCAGAACAGGCCTGATGGGCCACTTTCTCTCCAATGAAACATGCCGTAGGGCTGTGCTTCATTGACTGTACTGGAGACAGTACTGTAGGGATGCAGTGAGCAGCTCTAGTAGGCTTTCCTCTTGTGTGCCTCCTTGTGATGTTTGGTAGGAACAGAGGGACTACCCCCCAGAAAAGACCAAAAGGCTATCTGACTTGCTCCTCCGCAGTGGCTACGGCAAAGCTAGCATGTACAGTGCGCTTGACCACTCTTGCTGTGCCGTTACTTTGAGGAAGGAGCTTCTTCTTGAGCCAGTTGTCAAATCTGCTCATGCTGGCGAGCGAGAGCACACCGCCCTCCAGTTCATCTCCTAGCAAGTGTAACTGGCAGGAGCACGCAGAAGTATCCGTTTGAGTCTTAACTTTTTGCCCAAAGCAGGCAGTTGTGCTGGTAGATTGCGTGCGGCAGAGCAGCATGTTAAACGTGCTTCTACGGTTCTTGCCTTGCAGGCCTCTAGTTTCCATCACTGTTTTCCTTATGAATATGGAAACTGTGAACATTTAAAAAGAAACGAATACTGGATTTGATCGAAAATTAAAAGTGAATAAAAAGATCTAAAAGGAAAAAAAAAGCTGTGAAAACTCTGCCTTTTGGTTAACAAAAATGAAAGCTGTCCTTTGTCAGATGCCTTCTGTCCTTGTGCTTGGTGTCTCTGCTTCCAGGAATTGCAAGTGCGTGTTTATAAGTGGATTGTCGTTTTGCACAATAAAATGGTTTTAAAAAAAATGTCTTTCAGGTACAAAGCTCAGGGGATAAGCGCAAAGAAATCCATTGACTCCACGTTCTACCTTCTGCTAGACTTAATCACCTTTTTTGATGAATATCATGCTGGTCACGTTGACAGGGCCTTTGATGTAAGTTGCAGGATTTCCGTTTGAAGCGCACGCTTCCTAATGCCCTTGAAAGCCCAGAGTGCTTCATGTAACATCACTTAAAACAAGAAGTTATATTTAATGAGTTAGAAGGTGCTGCAGTGCTATAGGAATTTTAAAAAGCATTTCTTTCCTATTGCTTGATAATCAGGAAAATCTTTCTGGAGATGTTTTGTAGCCCCTGAACAAAATGTTTGGCTACTCAACAAAGTGAAAAGATAAACCAGTAGATAACAATGAAAGGTTTTCTTGCGAATGGAAACAGGAGCATTTCAGGACGCTTCAAAAATCTGCTTTATTAATATACAGTATATAGAAAGTTGATGATAATCTACCCTGATTCCTGCTTTCCTTCTTGAAGATTATTGAACGCCTAAAGCTTGTACCTCTTAGCCAAGACTGTGTGGAGGAGAGAGTTGCTGCCTTCAGGAACTTCAGCGATGAAGTAAGTAATGCCAGTTTTTAGCTTCTTAAATACGTTTGCCTTGTTAAAAGAGTCTTTGTAATCTCATGAACTGTTAGTCGTTAATGGGAAATATGATGGAATTATTTTGCATTTATACAGATAAAAAGTTGCAAGCCAGGAGTCTATCTCCTTAACACTTGTTCTTTGGCGCATCCGAATCTCTACCCGGAAATCTTAGTTTCATGTCGCAGAAGGCGGCATCTGCAGTTTGAATCTTTCTGAATTTCTTGACTTAGATTCAAGAACTTGGAACAGTGAAAACTTTCAACTTTTATACTGACTTAGTTCTTCCATGTTTCTAAGGGTCGCCAAACATTTGTTAGGTCTTGAGCTACTTTCCCTCCAAATTAGAGGTACTCATGTATTTGGGCATTAGCATGTGAAGGGAAACGCCCTCTGAAACTGGCACGGCCAAGATAGTATCTCCAGGATTTATTTTTGCGCCTGACATAATACCTTTCAAAAAGAATTTTTAAATACATGGTTGTTTTTTGTTTCCAAGTGAACTAGTGGATAAAAGGCTGTGGAATGAATGACATTTTCCTTTGAGCTTTGGAGTTTATCGAGTCTTCCGAGTTGGGCATTTTTCAGCCTGTTGTCTGGCACTTACCCAGCATCACACGGCCTTGGTTCCAACTAAGTACAAAACTGACCTAAGAGTTTGACACTGTGGATCTTATGTCATGGTAAATTATTTTAGCTTTTTAGTATTGGTAAAGGTAGTCCAAAAATTCCTCCCTGGTACTCTGTAATGATAATTAGTGAAAGGATGGTTAGTGAGCAGCCTTTACTTTGCAAAAAACACTTGATAATGCAGAAAGCTTTTCTTAGCTGTGGAGTTTTAGAGGAAAAAACACCCTCTCTTTGGGTCATTATTTGTGTGTTGATAGCATCAGCGTGAATTTTTGAACGTTGGTGGTGTGTATGACTGAACAGAGAGATGAGATCAGGGTAGAGTAAAGGCTCTTTGGAAGTCACCTCTCTAGTACAGTGCCTGGGCTTAACATCAATGATTACCTTTGCTGGTTTTCCACATTCAAGTTGAAAGAAACTATCCTAGCAGTTACTGTCACATTAGAAATGAATTGAGGAGTGATAGGCCAATGCATAGCAGCCTAAAGTGAGCAACTGTGCAAAAACAGAGTTACTGTAAACTCTCTTGATCTGCTTGTGCAGAGCAATGAACCATGCACCAGTGACTGTGAGCAGAAGTTATTTAATGGGATGCTGTGCAATCCCTAGGCTGTAAATTGACATGCTTTTGGAAAATTTGGAAAATGATCCTCTTTAGAAACAATTCTGCTGATGGCATTTTTTTGTCTTGCCTCAACATTACATTTCCTTGGTTATTTGCCAGAAAACAAAACCTTTCACCTGTTCTGTTTTCTGACTGCTCAGTTGCCATCAAAATGACAGTGTATTACTGCTTTTGGAATGTTTTAACTGGAATGTGGCATTTCTCTTTTAGACAACGTTTGTGTGTATAATGGCTTTGGGTTTTGTCTGAGCTGTTACTGTCAAAAGTGAAGATGCAGCCATTACACACGTCTGCCCAAAAATTCTGGATAACCTTTTTTGCCAGATGGTGCAGTCATGGCAGGGGTAGCCTTTGTCTGCATGACCATTACATGTACAAATACCAAACATAGCTGTCCGTGCTTGGTTTTTGGGTGTCATATAGTAATGGTAATGGTTCTCTCAGCCTGCTCTTCATTGCACTATGTCTTTTCTTTTTGATTTCCTTTGTGTAGATCAGGCACAATTTATCTGAGGTCCTGCTTGCAACCATGAATATTTTATTCACCCAGTATAAGAGGATGAAAGGCACAAGCCCAGCCACTCCTGCCAGACCCCAGCGGGTAATGGAAGACAGAGATTCGGTAAGGTTATAGCCTTCGCTGTCTGACAAGGTTTGCTAGGTTGTTTCTCCCCCTAGTTTCAAGGTGTTGAGCTTCAAATAGCTGTGTATCTCTAACAGTCTTTGGTTCTGACTTACAAGCTTGTTCAGTTACTTAGAGTACTGAGACTAGTCTCTTGTAACTTTACCTTTCTGGTGTAAAGAAAGGATGTTGCTCTAAATAGCACTCAGGTAATTTAAAAATATGTTACAATAAATATCAACCTCCTAGCAAGAGAAAACAAGTGTTCAGCTTACTGTTTGGTGAGATCGTAAATAATTAACAGATGTGGACAGTGCGGTGTCTCTGGGATGGTTGATGCCGTTGCCTTGACAACTGACCTGTCTTTTCTGAAGAACCTGATTTCCACCTCTTTCATTTGAGTTAGTGCCCTGTTCAGACAAAACTGGTTTCTAGGGGGAAGGCCTTCCTTCCTGTCTCTCTTTGGCTTGCTTCTGGAGTGATACGGACAGACGTTTTCAAAGTGTCCTTGGGCAGCACACCAAGGTATTCAGGTATATTCAGTTGGTGAGCGGGTGCAGCAGTTTGTCAGCATCCTCCTGTTGTCTCCGCAGCACAGTGGGCAGCTTTCTGATGCTCCGCTGCTTCATCTGGCTGCCTGGTTTAAATGGCTGGCGAAGGAGGATTTGACTTAACTGCTAGACTTGGTGCTGAAGCATTTCCCTCTGCCACTTGTGGGGACCCACACTTTCAGCAGAGCCTCAGAACGGGAGATTTCTCGACAGCACCACTTAAACTGCACCGCGGGATTTGTGGGCACTCACCTATCGCCATGCTGTGTTGAGCGGAAGAGGTCTCAGCTTTGCTGTCATTGGGTTCCGTTTTGTTGTTCTCATTAAGTTAAAGTTGCCACAGGCACTCTAGAATCAAGGCCGTAGCACTCGTTCTGTCTTAGAGATTAGAAAATAAATATCAATTTCTTTTGAGAATTATAAAGCAACTTGGGCTACAGCTAGCTTTATTCCAGGCCTGAGTCACGTGTTAAAGTGTCTTTGGTAGGTGAATTTCAATATTGGTAAAAACCTCAGTAGAATTTCTAAATTACATTAAGAAAAGAAGGGCTAAAGTAATGATACAGCTTTTGTCTTTGGTGTACAGTCTGTGTGTAAGCTGCAGGACTCTGCCTTGCAACAGTACTTGCGCTCCAGATTGGCAAAATTGGAGAAGGGTGCACGCTGCTTCGGCTTCTCCCCACCTTCAGCTCTGTAGCACAGGGAAAAAACCCCAGGATAGTGCAATCCGTTACCTGCTCTGTGTGTTCGCAAGGAGAGTATGGAACGAACAGCCTCGGCTCCTTGCTTTTCAAGTGAGCTTTGTACTTCTGCTGTGTTATTTGAGTGTCATGCCTTACGTAGAAGCTTTTCCCATCTCTGTAGGGGTGTAATCCTCTCAGGCGTCATCACAGCGTGAATAGCATGAGCGTGGCCTATTGAAGATTGTCAGGCTGATTGGTGATAGGATCAGCAGCCCTGCTGGCAGGATTTGGTGTAGAAGGAAACCACCGAGACATTGCGCAGTATCAACAGTGGCCCTGTTACCAGTGTGCTCAGTTTAGTAAATGTGCTCTGCATTCCCGTGCTGTTGCTGTTGGAGAAAGCAGCTGATAGTGTACTTGGCTAAACACCCTTGAAATTTTTCTTTTTCAGGCCGAAAGTTCTGCTAATCAAGTTTCTGGCCTTGTGGTGGGATCTCGTAGTAATAGGGTATATCAGTGACGTTAATAGACACTGGGTTTCTGAGTCGTGGCTGCGCGATAGAAGCTGTGCTTGACCATCAGAGAGGACAAGTGCCTGTTGTCCCTGGAGTCAGGAGTGTGATAAGAGAATAGTTGTGTGGTTATGTTAGAAGGGAGCATAAATCTTCTCATGTTGGAGTAGCCAAAGAGAAAAAAGCTTTAGGCTTTAGCTACAGGCTCTAGCTGTAGCTCCTAGCTCTGTTTAAGGTTTGTGTGTGCAGCAAAGTGTCAGGCCTGGAAGCATGGAAGATCGGGTAAGAATAACTTTATAACATGTTCCCCCTTTATAATTCCCCTGCCGAATCTCCTCTAACAATGTGAGCAGGGAATCCAAATTGTTGCAGTTTCCCTGTCTGGGAAACACTTTGGGGTGGTTTTAGATGTGGGGGGAAAATCAGGGCATTTCAAATGAGAAAAAAGCCGCATTCCTTCTGCAAAATCTTCCTCATTCAGCTGAGCAGAAGCAGCAGATACGAGCCTCTGCAGGCTGCATTTGGCAATAATTTTTCCTGTGAACTTTCTTAGGGGGGAAAGTGATCCACCACAGGGAAGGAAACTTTGGGGAAATCACTAATAGCGTGCATTTTGCAGAAGCTGCAACAGTCTCAGCATGTTGGTCAGCAGTCAGTGCACACAAAAAATGGACTTTCCTTGAGCAGCTCTCTGAATTCTCTGGGTTTCCTCTAGATCCATCGGAGCAGACAGATTCAAACCCATCTGTTCATCAGAAGAATTCAAAAGCAGTACCCTGTGATAGGAACATATTCATCAGGCTGAAATTTGTTCTACAAAGCAGGGAACAAAGTCCTCCAGAGGAAGAACACATGGCCTTTGAATTTGCCCTTTGGTGCCGAGCGCTGGTTGTTCTCTGCCTTAAGCAGTTTCCTGTTGTAATGGGTAGGGAGTAGAGGGGATGTCACAGCAGTAGCGTGAACCCAGTAGCAAGGGGAGGATGAAGAAAAAATACTTCTAGAACCCCATGGACCCAGTACTGTTCTCTTAATCTTCCCACTGCTGCTAAAGTGTTTCCTGTTGCACTCCAGAGATGAAATGTGCTTTGCTTAGAAAGGATCGGGTTTGGAGTTTGAGCTTTTTCTCTTATGCATTTTGTTTATTTCAAAATGAAATTACCTAAGCTTTGAGTCCTTTCTTTAATATCTTTACGTTAATTAGCTTTGGAGATGAGGGAGCAAAATCCTGTCCCATTTGGCTTGACCCGTTTTGTCAGATTTTGGGCAGAGATTCCAGCAAGCCAGGCTGCTGGATTCCCAAAAACATAGCTCTAGCGGCAGCCGTCGCTCGGATGTCATGCCGGCATAACAGCAGCGTTGTACACTCCCCACCCTGATCCGGGGTGGCTAACTCTGTGGAGCAGCACCAGGGTATTTTTGGCAGCAAAAATAGGTCATGAAAGGAATGGAATTCTTTCCTTTTATTCGTGGTCTTATTTTAAATCACAAGTGAGAGTTTTCTGTTCTGGATGTTCGTTAAGTAATTACAGGCAATAGAACACCTAGACCTCCAGGCCGCTCTTAACCTCTGAAAACCTCTGTTCTTTCTTCCTGAAGTGTTGCTGCTTGCAATCCATCATGTTGTTTTGATTTTTAAAAATAGCCCAGCTCCAGTATCATCGCTAGTGAAAGACGTGAAGGGAGCAGTAACTTGCACTCCTCCTACACCTATTTTAGTCACAGTAATAGAGCTTTTGCCTCTCGATGGTTTCATTCCATAGACTCAAACGACTTTACAGGCTTGATTCATCTGCCACCTATTTCGACCTCCGCTGAAACAGAGCACGCTAAACATAATTACGTGACTTTTCTGCATAGCAGAGTTGGGAGCAGAGTAAAAGAGAAACACTGACTGTGACGGGAACTGAAAGAGTCATTTTTAGGCCACCTTGTTACATAGCCAATACATCGGTGTTAACTAGATAGCAACTTCCCGCTATGTAAATTGTGCTGGGAGCTTTTAACAGTTGGGTCAGTCTCTAGTTTTGCTTCTCAATTAAGAGAGCGCCTGATGTGCTGCGTTGCCTTCGGAAATCCCTCGGCCGCAGCCCTCTCCTGCAGGCAGGGGTGCTTCCCCGTCCGTCGCCGTTGCAGCTCCAGCTCTTCCTGGCAGCGTCTCGCGCGGGTGTATTCCTCCCTCCTTGGCTAGGCAGCAGCGCGAGCACGAGATGGGAGCTCGGCTCTGTGTTTCAGCCAGGCCGCTGGGCTTAGTGGGCAGTCATAGCTTTCCTTGAGACAAGAGGGTGGAAATATGGCTCTCATCTCAGCACGAAACAGAACTGATTTTTCAGCCCCTGTGTAAAGTTGAAGGTTTTTTGCAGAGGTGAAGCAGTAGCATCTGAGATGGTGTTTATTACTGTTCCCAGCCAGGTAACGGGCTTCGGTCACTTCTCAGTTTGTAAGTCCCTGCTGCCAGATTCACCGTCCGTATGCCCGCGCTTCAGCTGTCCCTGCAGTCACTAGATTACAGCAGGATGCGAATAGCAGCATCTTCCAGTACAGTAATTTAGAGATGCTTTATGTTTAAGAAGAAAACACAGTGAGCAAACAAAAGCTGCAGTCCGCAGCGTCTGCCATACAGACTTGGGGTCTCCTGAACTCCACCGGTTATCAAACTGGTTTTCCTTTTAATTTGCTAGATGTTTTAACAAATGAAAAAGGTGATTTTTGAATTCCTTCAGATATAACACAGCTTTCCTGGTGGGTAAATGGGGTTTTTGATTACTTTAGACAAAGGTCTCACTTTTGTTGCGTTACGGAGTCAGGAGCGTTTAAAGATGGCAGTATGTGAAGGTGCTGGTGACCGTAAGGTGCATGTGGCACCACTAGTTTGTATTTTTAAGTGCTTGTGCTTTAAGAGTGTTAGTGCAGCCTTTCAGCAGGGTCGCTTTTATGTTTGGCGAGATGGGAAAGAGTCTTGCTGCCGTGGAAAAGCCTGTTTCATGCAGGAATTACCAGGTGCTTCTTAGAGTACAGCAATGCTGCGGTCTGTTGAAAGTGTTTTTTCCAGGGTAATTTTAGGTAAATTGATTTTTTTGTTTGTTTGTTTGTTTTTAAGCAAATGGACGAATCAACATCCGTTAAATAGTTGTAAAAGGAAATAATTGGATTTCCTTCCGAAAATGGAGATATGTCATTATCCAGAGTAGCTTTGAGAAACAAGTGTTATATTTGCAGGTTTGAAAAGGGAGGGGTTTAACACATGCCTAACTCGCTTTAATTGTGGTTTTGGGATACTGAAGTAACAGCCCTTTATTTTTTTTTTTATTTTTTTTTTAGCAACTTCGATCTCAAGCTCGGGCACTGATAACGTTTGCTGGAATGATCCCTTACAGAACATCCGGAGACACGAACGCCAGACTGGTGCAAATGGAGGTCCTTATGAATTAGCAGAATTATTTTGCTTAGGGTTCCAGCATCCTGTGCCTGCCTTGAGTACATCAGGAGGGTGGGACCAGTATTGTTTTGTATTCTGTATTTTTGTTGATGGAAATAAATTACTTTGATTTCTATTTGTTTTTGACATTTTTATTTTCACTGATTTTTTTTTTGTTTATGTTTTAATTCATTTTTTTAAAATGGTTTCTAGTTAGAAAATCATTCTTAATGAATTAACGGGCCATGCAGAGAATGGTGTGGTAAGGAGGTAAACAAACAATTCTATAACAGAAGAGGAAGTGCAAAGGAAGAATTTTGATTTACTGCTTGCTCTTCATACAGCTTGGAAATCTTTTTTTTTTGGGGGGGGGGGTTTGAAGGTATGTTAAATGTTGAAAATCTGTTTGTGATACATCACGCATCTGACACAGTGGTGCCGATCTATAATGTTGTCTTGTGTGGAGGTACGTGTTTATATGGTGCAGATGAACTGTGTCATTTACACTTAAGTGTCAATGAGACTCTCTGTTAAGAGTTTTAAGCTGTTGGGCTGGTGCCTCAGATGTACAGTTCTGTGCAAATCCAGGAGCTCCACTGAAGCTTTTGCAGAAGCAGCTGAGATTGGGAACAGTTATATGTCAGTAGGAGAGATTTTGTAATTGACGCATGGGGTTTTAGACAGACAAATTCAAAATAGTGCCATATGGAGTTCCCTAGGAGAAGTAGGGAAGCTGACCAAAGAGTTGAAGTGTGGATTCCTTGGGCATGGATCGCTATTACTGTTGGTTTAGCAGGAAACCCTTAAAAAGCGGTTCCTAAGCATAGCTTTAAACGTTTTGGGCTACAATTAAATCAACATGAAAGCCCAGCGAGCGTGTGCTGTTAGAAGCTTTCCCTCCGTTCCTGTACTGGTGTGTAGCTGCTGATCTTTGAAATGAAACGCGAAGAAGGTTACTTCCCTTATTGCTCCGTGCGCACACACGCAGCCTTCTGCACAGCTGCTGTCTTACGCTCGCTCCATTTGTATTACTAGGATATGAGAATATTTGCAGTTCAGGATGCAGAGTAGCCAGCAAAAATGTAGGGGCCGATTTCAACTTCTGCATGGTAATAGCGATTGTGGGAGAGAGTTGCTCTCCGTTTTGTGGTGCGTGTAACTGTAACCTGCGCTGAGGGATATTTAATACGCTGCTAACAGCCATGTTAAACTATTTGACTGACTTGATCACGTTTTTCTAATTACTTTTTCCACCAAAAATGTAATAGCACAGACTTTCTCAATTTTTTTTTTTTTGCTGGACAGGTAATCAGGGGGATGGCTTGCCAAGCTACCCAAAAAACGTGTCCTGTGGCATTAGCAAGCTGGCTGTTAGGGTGCTTAAGGAACACAGCTAAGAACTGTATTCACGCCACAAAATCCATGGGTACATCTGGAGCATTGCAGTGGCGATGCTGGGTGGTTTGTGATGTTGCCTGCCGCAGCTGAGATACGGTAATAGACCTTTTATCCCCTTCAGGCTGTTGCAGATACAAAGTAAAATGAGTGGTCCTATAGCATGTTCAAGATTGTTTCACCTGGAGGCTGGCACCTCTCGGGAGCTCTGTCAGTCTGGTAGGCTCAGGAGCGTGTCCTGCAGTGTGTCCTTTCTCCTGATAGCAGAAGGGAAGATGAGAGAAGACCTGAACAGCACCCCACAAGTAAGGGGGATTTGGTGAGTTACCAAGGAGTTATTGGGAGGGGTGGCGGGCTGGGTTGCCTGACAAAGTCAGCTGGGTTGTGTGGAAAGCTTTATTACCATCATTAACATTTCTAGCATATTTGTGTGTGAATGTTTCTTGGTATGTTTTAGTTCCCAAGTTCATCTGCTCCACTGGAGAACAGGTGAATGGAAAGCAAGTGGCAGAGCAGGGCCTCTCTTTTCCTGAAACTTGCAGAAAATCCTCACTGGACCAGACTGTCCCACATACAGTCCTGCCGGGTAAAGCCAGCTCCTGTTCTTTTCCTGCTGTCACTCAGCACGTGCCTCTAAATTACTCTTAGCATCAAGCCAGCTCACCTGCAGGGAGACCGGTGAGTCTGCGCTTGTCCTGAGACAACCTCTGACCTGAGCAACAGAGGGCCGGCTCCTGCCAGGGTGAAGGCCACCTTCCCCTCAGTGCTTCCTTCTCCCTGCTCTACCCTTCACAGTGGGACGGGAGGCCTTTGGGGCTTGGCTCTTACGACTGCCATCTGTGGGACCTTGTTTGCTTGTCTGCTGCCTGTTGAGCTATGGGGCTACCTCGCTGGTGTGTTTCTAATTTCAAATTTTGGACTTAGGAACCTTTTAAAAACAGCACGTTATCCTTTCCTGTCTGCCTTTTGAGGATGGCTGCAGCAGAAATTTTCGGATGTTTTTAAGTCATCTCAAGCGTTAACAAAAGAGACAACTGGCAGGCGTACGCAGTTTGCTGCCTTTGCGCTCAGTGATTGAGCCTCTGGGTCCCTTCTAGGCTAAACAGAAATGGAGCTGTGTTGTACTTGGGTCTTCCTGGCTTTTAGAACAAACTGTGTTGCACTGACGGAGGAAATGAATATCGGGGATCCAAAGCCCTGGAACTAATTTTGGAAAGTTAAGGCCTAGCCCTATTTCAGGCAAGATGTGTGAGAGGTGGTGGGTGCCACAGAAGGCTGCCATGGATAGTTGGCATTATTTCCTGTTGATTCCTGTGTGATTTCTTCTTACATCTGTTTAGGTGATGAATATTAACAGCACCTCAGTCCTCCACTATTTCTGCAGGCTCCATCTCTGCGTCTAGGCCTGGATTCAGGAAACCTGGCTCTTCTCTGCACAGCTTTAAGGGCTTTGCTGCATTGAGGTAGATGCTGATGCACATACTGGTGCTTCACAGAGTAAGGCAACCCAGTGGTTTTTTGGAAGTCACTGTTTTCTCCCATTCCAAGCTTCCTGTGTTTTATATGTTTATTCTTTTGTAAAGAACAGCCTGGCTGTGCTCCCTCAGTTTTCCGACTGGTAGGCGTTCTGCTGTTGGAGTGAAGTACATAACACTTGGTACCTTCACGCTCTGGTGTGCCTAATGTGCAGGCTCCCTCTTGGTTTTCTGAATGCTTCACCAGCTGAAAAGGTTGTTTGGGATGTCATTAAATTCATAGGCTATGTGTTTGGAGTAGCCTGGTCAGAGGTATTGACGCTAAAAAGTCCCTTATAAAAGGGAGTAATGCTGCCTTTCATAGTGTAGGGCTCTCGAGAGCATTACCTCAGTTTTCATGTACAGTTATTTAGAGCAGCGTTTGCTCATTTTCTTTTCTAAGCCAGCGCAGTCTGTGTCATAGAGGAGCAGGAGACTGCACTGCTGAGTGGGTTTTGCCACAGTGCTGGGCACAGTCCTCTCTCAACCATGCTGATTCCACTCTGGGGGCATACACGTTGTTTGAGCTGCTGCTTATCCATCTCATGGTTCTTGCAAAGGGGCAGTTTTAGTAGTTCTTAATTACCGGGCACCAGGCATTGCTTTAGGTGTCATGATGAGGACATAGTTTTGCACCCTTTGTGTAAACATCAAAGCCCAAGATTTTGGGAGCACTCCCTGTGCAAAAAGGACTTTGGTTTCCTTTGACAAACTTGTATAGGTCAAATTGAAAATCTTGATCCTGCACAGCAAGATCTGAGCAAACATTTATACTTTGCCAGGGACAGTTCACAGTAGAACCACGGGTAGTCATCTGAGAACTGAATTTATTCCTAGTATAAACTGACAAAATTCCCCTGAACTCAGGAGTTCTGCCCCTTAATACAACAAAAAACAGAGATTGAGATTGCAGGTAAAGGATTTTCTAGGATTAGAAAATTCAGCTGTGCTCTTTCCTCCTCCAGGACGCATCCTCAGCAATAAAGATTTTCTGGCTAGAAAGTGAGCCGAGAGCTCAGGGATGGTTCACACATCTGAGTGAAATGCAGCTCGCATTTGCGTTGCTAGAGAAGACTTGAAGAATGAGTAAAAAGATGCTTTTCTTTGAAAGCGTGTGACATTCAGAGAGCGTACCAATGCAGCAGGCATGTTGAGTATGCAGGTCTGTTTTCTGTGGTTCGCATAGCTCATCTGTAGTGAAACAGTCACGAGTACCTTGGTATTGGTATCAAAAATCTTAAGGTTTGGCAGTCTGGAAGTTCTTTGACCAGTGACTTTGCTGTTGATGTGTTCTGCTTTTACAGGGGAATTGCAGCGCTCTGCTCTGTGTGAGGTGGCCAGTGAAGGATCTTTTACCAGCAAATCTAAAAACACCCATGAGGAATTTCTAGCCTTTGCTACCAGGCCAGTAGGAAAAAAGTTTAATCTTTGCCAAGGGGATAACCTTGGGCTACTAGTAAAAGCTATGATATGAACAAATAGAAGAGACCCAGCCTATATGAGAATTCAACACATGCCAGCAAGTGGAAAATCTGATGAAACGTATCTCTAAGGCTGCTTCATAAACGCTCCCATGGAGCTGGCAGGTGTCTGTGGCCCTGTTCCTCTCTCCAGTGCAGTTTCTTTGTCCCCCCACAATAACGATGCTGACGTTAAAGCTGTGCTGGGCGTTTAAGTATTTTCACAGTGGAGCCTGCACTGTTACCCCGGTGCATGCTTGGGTTAGCTGGTAGCCCTCGTTAGGTTCCCGTTCACAACCTGCAGGATATGTTTCTGGTTCTGTGGCTTTTCTTGGATTTCCCCATGTACTACAGATTCTGCATGGTGATCTTGATACTTTTTTTTCTAGAGCCTTCGTCTGGAGTAGGTCTGTTAAATGAGTCTCTGTTCTCCACCATGCTCTCCCACCACTGCTGTGTTCATCTAAGAGAGCGATGCAGCACTTGGATCTTGATCATTGTAGGAGCCAAGGGGATTCCCTCAGCAAGAAAGCATTTCCTGAACTTAGTTCTTCTTGTTACCCTCTCTCCCCTTCTCTGTTTTCCGAACCTTCCTAAACCCCAGCCTCTCATTGAATTGTACTGTATTTCTTCCAGCCTAGAGGAAAGAAGGTGATATTATTAATTCCCGTTCTGTATGCCTAGGGTGGGATAGTGCTCACATATTGCTGCTGTTCATGTCCTTACACCAGTATCCTCATCCTGTTTCTGTATGGGCCTGAAGTAA